TTCATACACATTACTCAAGTCGGGCTCCTTTTCATTTGATATCATTTGCATTCATGGAACAAATTTCAACATCTTTTGCAGACCAGAAATCAGAGCAGACTCAGGGACACACACGGCTTGGCATAAGACTTGGTATTCTGTAAGATAAAACACTGCAGAGGTCTAACTTACAGACTTAAATACTTCAGGTTTAAAATATAGATGTTTAACAATTCAATGAATCTATCAAATATCAAAAAATATAATTATAATATAAATAGGCTTTATAAAATGACACAGAGAAAATATATCTTAATGCATATTCATTGAATATGATGAATTTCTTCATTGTTTTCACGTCAAATACTGGTTTAACCAAATTGCACACCTTTAAAGAAATTTTTTTTTTGTAATTCTAGCTATGAAAAGTGACAGTTACTGCTGCTAATCCTCGCTACGAAAATTCTAGATTTGTTCATAGCAAATTTAGGGACCTTTCCGTTTTAAAATGAGGAAACCCAGGTCTAAAATCCTGGGAAAAGGGTTGCACGCCATTCAGAACTGCGTTGAGAATGCCTTTACATTGCAATTCATTATGTAAATTTTATTTAAATAGACCCGAGGAAGCAAAGAGAATGCAAAACTGCATTTCAAATTTGAATTCAAATAAATTCACATTACTGTCATTTTTAAATAAAAGTTTGTCGATTTTAAAACTTGGCTTGATAAAGGATTATTTGAATGTTTTGAAAATGTTCAAACATTTAAAAAGCCTTGACGTTTGAAGGTTTGTAGTCCACACAGGCAAACAGACATAGATATTCATCCCATAGTTACATCAAGATGCAATAGACAGGTAAAGACATGATAGAGACAAATAGACATGATAAATTATTTAAACGATGGAGGTGATCCATCACTCTCAGTGATACCACTGTATTAGTCTAATTTATTAGTAAATCTACCAATAACATCTGAGGAGCTGAGCCATCCGTAGTCTCTGAGCAGCTTGTCAGTAAACATCTGCAAGCATTCCCACATCACAGTAGCATTTCTCAGTAAAATGTTATGTCTAAGCACACGGTAGCTAATATTTCCCATATCTATGTTGGTTGCTATAGTAATGACTTTCCTCTACGACATCTGAGATTAGCTGTCAGCATGGAAATGGAGTACAGAAAACTGAAAACTTTCCTTCTGTTCAAGCCCATCAGGACATTTTACTGTGGTTCTGAACTCACTAGGAATATCAGACAAAAATAAGCACTCATTCACCATTCAATACACAGTGAAGGCTTCACGTGAGGCATTTCTAACACAGATGTAGATTTTCCTGATAACAAAACAAACGACTGGAAATCTGACTTCAGATGGTGTTCAATCGGAAAGGCTTCTCTCAAAATTCGGATGTCAAACTTTGTATGCATTTCACGTGGTTTTTGCTGATCAGACTACAGACAACTAAACAGACTTTAGTTGAATATACAAAAATAAACCATTTTTGTGGCCTGTCTGAACAAAGGCAAAGAAACCCATCTATTTTCTCAGAGGGACAGACTAATGGCTTGTTACAGACGACTCCTTTGTTCCCATGCAGTCTGATTGCTTTCGCTCGCTCTTCTTCTCACTGTTTCCATGCTGTTTCTGAACTTCTAGGCTTGTGGAAACTGCTCCTGTGGGTACCGTTTCACTCTTCTACTGGTAGGTGTTAGTGCTGGAAACAGCGACGGTAACTGAGCTTGTTTAAAAGCGCAGATGAAAAAAAAAGTTGAACAAACCTTTGCTTTACATTTGTATATTTCACAAAGCAACATGTGATTCATGAAGTACACAAAGGCTTTTATGTGAGGTGATTGCTAAAGTATGTTTAGACTGAATCGACTGGCACACTGCATCTTTTTGATAAAACTTTTGGTAACACTTTACTTGAAGGGGTGTGCATAAGACTGACATGACACCTTCATAATCATGACATGACACATGTCATGAATATGAAGGTTTTTTTATGCATGTTTATGACAACTGTCATTAAGTGTCATTCACTCAGTTATGCATTTTTAATGCAAAGATGACATTGAGATGTCTTTGTTATGGGCTATGGTTAGGGGTAAGGGTAGGGGTAGGGTTAGGTTAGGGTTAGGTCAAATAATGTCATATTTGCATTAAAAATGACATAACTGAGCGAATGACACTTAATGACAGTTGTCATAAACATGCATAAAAAAACCTTCATATTCATGACATGTGTCATGTCATGATTATGAAGGTGTCATGTCAGTCTTATGCACACCCCTTCAAGTAAAGTGTTACCAAACTTTTTCTTTCTGCCAAACAAAATCAGTGTTTTTTATCTTGTTACCAATAACATCTGAGGAGCTGAGCCATCCTTAGTCTCTGAGCAGCTTGTCAGTAAACATCTGCAAGCATTTTCTTGCAAATCCACATTTGAATGATCTAGTCATTTGGCGCCACCAAGTGGAGGGTTAATGTAAGCTCAAGTGTAATTCTTAAAGAGATAGTTCACTCAAAATTGAAGAGCCTGTCATAATTTACTCATCCTTACGGTTGCAAACAAGAAGATTTTTGAAGTTAACACAGTGAATGTCAGTGGGGTCCAAAACAAAATTTGACCATTGAACATTTTTTTGTTACTTGAAATAAAATAAATGTTAACTGACAAAAACATAAAAAAAAAAATTTTATTCCAGCTAGTTGCCAAAGCAACATTTGTCATTTTTATTTAGTTTAACCTGATGTACAGTACTAGCTAAAACTGAAATAAAAATGTATAAAAACTATACAGATATATTTAAATAATAAAAAAATAAATGTAATTAAAATTACAACTAAAATACAAAACAAAAACTTTCAAAATATAAAAAAAATATTATAGTACCTCAATGATGCTACAATATAATCATGCAAATGAAAAAATAAAAATAAATAAATAAATCTAAACAATACTAGAGAAAAATGTTCAAAGTAAAATTCCTAAATGTGCTATTCTCTGACATAACCTAATCGAAATTATCTGAACAGCAAGAGAAGCCAATATATTAAAATGAAAAGAGCCACAAAACAGATGTCCAAAAACAAACAAAAAGTAAAAAGCAATCAAAAAACAGAAATTTGTACAATTTATTCTGACCGCAGTGCATGCTGGGAACTCAAGTAGGCTTATAGCATAATATACATAATTGTGGCAAGTCAAATGAGTTAAAAAAAAAAAAATGCAGAATATATAGAATATATATTTAAACTCCCATGGTTAGTACTTTAATGGTGGGCACAAAGCAGTGGATTTCATTAATTCTGCAGCTAATCACCACTTCCTGGTTAAAATTTTTCCTCTGCACAACCACAAACCCCACTAGCCAGTGTTCACTCTGTCTATTAAGCATGCACAACCACAGTTGCATGTGCATATGCAACTGTGCAATTACTATTGTCAAGAAAGTAATTCAGAGAAACCAGGCTGTGGGGAGAAGGGGAATATTTGCATATTTGTTTTCAGACACAAAATGCTTGACTTATGCTAAAGACGTTCACAGTTGTACTGAAGCATGTTGTGCAGGTAAGTAAGCAGCCCACATGTATAGAAGGCTCTGTGCTTTACAGACAGGAAACCCAACATGGCCCTGTCACTGAAACACTACTGCTAAATGATCTAATGTATTCGTGCATTAAACATGAATGTAGAGTCCAAACTACCAGGGCCTACTAGTAACACACAAGCATCTGTAACACCTAAATAACAGACATACCATTTCTCAGTTACAATATTAGCAATATTAACAATATTAGCTCCATTGACCTTACCTTCAAACTGTGTCATATGTAAAGTATTCGTGTCTGCTGATTGCCTTGCGAATCTGCTTTCTAAAAAATCCCCTAGGTGGCACTGCATATTACAGATTAGTACCGTCAACTTTCTAGAAAAATGGAACTGCTGTATTATATTAATTCATCATTTTATTTCTATTATTTCTATTAATATTTTGAATAATTAAATAATGTATCTGTATTCTGTTTTGTAACATTCTAAAACTTCTTTTAAACCTACTTCAAATAAAATGCTAAATAACAAGCAGATGTAAAAATTCTATATTTTTGAGAGACGTATCAATTTGCTTTCTCGTTTACTTTCTTTTATTTTTATTGTTATTTTAGATATCTAACCGGGTCTGTGTAATGTTGTATTATGTAAGGTATTATTTATATAATTTTTTTTTTTAATGTATTTTCACTTTGTTTTGATCCATTTATAAAATAATTTTATAGTGCATTATTATTATTATTATATATTACATGAATTCATCGTTTTATTTCTATTATTTCTATTAATATTTTGAATAATTCAATAGTGTATCTGTATTCTGTTTTGTAACATTGTAAAACTTCTTTTAAACCTACTTCAAATAAAATGCTAAATAACAAGCAGATGTAAAAATTGTATATTTTTGAGAGACATATCAATTTGCTTTCCCGTTTACTTTTTTTTTTTTTTAGATATCTAACGGGGTCTGTGTAATGTTGTATTATGTAAGGTATTATTTATTTAATTGTTTTTTTTTATTGTTTTAATGTATGTTCACTTTGTTTTGATCCATGTATAAAATACTTTTATAGTGCATTATTATTATTATTATTATTATTCCACCATGCGTCCATTTAAATTAATTCACTTAACTTCTCTACCATTTTATTAATGATTTATGTATAATACTCTTTATCTTCGTATTTTGTTTGTTTGTTTTAAATTTTATTTTTACATGTTCACTTTGTTGTTGTTGTTGTTGTTGTTGTTGTTGTTGTTAGTTAGTTAGTTAGTTAGTTATTTCACATACTCTGAACTGTACAACAGTGGCTTATATTTGACTTGTTCTTTTTGCATTGTAGGCCTACTTCTTTGTGATTTAACTAAAAAAAAAATCTAAATCTAACTTCCGCGTGCGTTCTTCGGTTGCTATAGAAACAGACGGATGCAGGTCCACGTGGACGCGAGTGGCTCTCTGTGAGCGCGCACTAGTGTTTGCTCAAACTTGTCTTCAGCTTTCTGAAGTCATGAGTCCGTAACGCGAGCAGCTCCAGCTTCAGAATCTTCTGCACGTTCAGTTAAACTTCAGTCTCAGCCTTTGCTTGCACTTAATGTCCAGTTGTGGAGAGTTTCACTCTTAACAGTACTTTTCAACGATATTGTCGCTTTATGGGTGGACATTATGAAGTAACGTCAGCGGCTGCCTGTTTAAAGGTACAGTAAGGTTGTTATATTTTACCTTGGTCTGTCTGTTTAACTTGACCATTTCTGTGTTATGTGCTTTGGCAACTCAGAACAGGAAGTGTGAAAGAAAGTGTGAGAAGGAGTCTCCTACTGAGAGGAGGAAACAAGTGTTCCTGTTTTCATCAGCTGCTTATAGAGTTGCATATTGTTTTCATGTAGTACATGACTTTTCTTTTCACTACGGTCCATCTGTGAAAGTGCATTGCCTTGTCTTTGTCCCTGACATTACATGTCACTTGAAGTGACTTTCAAGAACAGTATATTTAGTGACACGATAGTTGTTTTGTTCTCTTTTAAATTTAGAAACTATTCAAGAGTTGATTCACTAAGCAAAGCAGCATTTTCTTCAGCTATAGGTGCAGTCTAACTGGACTGACAAGAAATGCTTTCCATTTGAGTTTTGATACAACAAAATGTTTGCATAGTGTAAGAACTTTTGTTGAATCTACAGTGACACACAAACTACTACTTGCACTAAACTTCAGAATCACAGATAGTATTCCTGTAGGTTTAGTGGTAAATACATCCAGCCCTTCGCCAAACCGCTTATCCTCTGTAGGGTTGTGAGGATGATGGAGCCTTTACTGGTTATATACCTCAAATGTACTGTATGTTGCTTTGGATAAAAACATCTGCCAAATGCGTAAATGTACATGTTTGCATGAGGTCATGCTTTTTGCTGAAATATTCTGGGATAGCCTATATATCTTTAGTAGAAGTAAGTAGAAACCTAAGAGACTTCTTGTCAGTCAAAAAGATAATTTGTCAGATCAAATACACCTGTGAATTAGAAAATGTTAGGCTGGATCAGAAGTGCAAATGGTGCCTATTTGTAAAAATGTTCTTGTACATATTTCCAGTCCAGTTTTTAGATGTGATATTTAAGTGAAGCTAGTAACTCTGTCCAATGCCCCTAAACAGTTTGAACATCATGGCACACTACACTTTTCTCTTTATTGACTTGGCAGCAAAGATAAAGGTTTCATGCAAAACAGTAGTGATATTCCTTCTGAAGGAAGTTCACAGAGGGAGGCTTGGGTCAGGCTAACATCAGTTTGTATTTTCCTGAAATGTAGTAAAGAATTTTACAAATAATTCAAAACAAAAGTCAACTTTTTCAGCTTAATCAACCCCCTGTTACATATATTACAAAAGTTTGGGGTCAGTAAAATTTTTTAAGAAATTAATACTTTTAATCAGCAAAGATGAATCGCAAATGACAGAAAGATATTTATAATGTTACAAAAATATCTATTTCAAAATAAATACTGTTCCTTCTATTCATCAAAGAATCCTGACAAACATGAATCACGGTTTTCACAAAAATATTAAGCAGGACAACATTGATAATAATAAGAAATGTTTCTTGAGCACCAAATTTAGTATATTCGATGATTTCTGAAGGATCATGAGACACTGAATACTGGACTGCTGAAAATGCAGCTGTGCATCACAGGAGTAAATTAGATTTTAAAATATATTCAAATAGAAAACAGTTATTTTAAGTTGTAATAATATTTCAGAATATTACTGTCATTACTGTATTTTTGATCAAATAAATATTTTGATCTTGGTGAGCATAAGAGGCTTGTTTCAAAAACTTACAAAAAAAAAAAAACTTACTGCCTTCAAACTTTTGCATTGTAGTGTATAGACATTTGTAACTTTAATTTATAATGTGGGAGGGACAATGAGGTACAACATTTATCTGAACTTTGCTTCTCAGCAAATTGGTTGGTTGAAGTTCACTTAATATTGTTTTTTGTTTAACTTTTTTCCTTTGAATTAGTTAAATGAAGTAGCAAAGACCTCTGATCTAGACAAACCCATAATCTTGCCTGTGACATGATCTTGGTCTCTCTTTAGTGAGCTAGTTTGGAGTTTGTGATTGATGGTTGGGTTTACTAAGGCCACTGAAAGCGTCATTCTGTGCCGCTGCACTCAGAAGTTTGAAACGGCAAACTTGTGGCTTTCCCGGTCAATACCCAAAGGAAATGCGCATCACTGCTCTCATATATGTGGCATGGCTTGTCAGCTCCCATCAATCCCATCAACTTTTAACTTGTGGTCACTGCACAAATAACATCTGTATTCCACTAAATAAGAGAGACGTGCACTCCAGTATTCCAGTCCACTAGTTTCTGCTATTCTCGACAGCCGAGGACTTAAAGGGGTCATTAACTGAGGAATCAAAAAAGAAATTCCCTTGATCTTTTGACATATAAGAGGTCACTGTACTACAAAAATGTAGTTTCAGAACTCAAAACTTTCTTGTTAGTCTAAAAACAGCTTATTATTGAAGTCAGTCTGCTAAAACGATAGGTTGTGGAATGTGCCACTTTATGACGTAATAGTGGCTAAACCCCGCCTCCACAGAATAAGATCAACGCCTGCTTCTACGTGACTGCCTGTTTAGCCCCGCCCACTAATTTGCGCGTGTATTGTAAATAATGAGAGGCAAACGCAGGTCTACGTAGAAACCAAACAATAAAGATGTCTCCAAAGACAACAAGACGCTGTGAGGTGCTAAGTTGTGGAAAAACAGTCTTTGCATAACCTACCTTCTGATCCCAACATTAGGAAAGACCAGATGAACACCCAGACCATGTCAGTAAGAACTTGGTCCTTTGTTCACTTCATTTTACCACGGATTCTTTTACAAACAAGGCACAATTCGACGCAGGATTTTCAGAAAGATTGAAACTAAAAGGAGATGCTGTGCAGACTATATTTTTATCCAGCGGTAATGTGGCACCACACAAGTGTGAGTAACTGTTTTTATTATGTGCTCACTATTGTTTTGTCTGTTATTACAGATCGTTTGATATGTACTGAGTATTTATGCGTTTTTAACCTAAATCAGCATCCATCTATGAAGGATGTAGGCTGTCAAACATACACAAATATTAGCCAATCATAGCAGTGGGTGTTTACTTCCGAGTCTACAATCTGCCACGCCTATTCAAACAGAGCGTTCTGGTGAGGGGGGTCAAAACAGGACAGAAAATAGCTAATTTCTTCTGAATTCTGAATTATGTTTTTGATGTAAAAATCTTGATAACATATAAGTGGACCTCAGAGAACAGTACAAAATAATAAAAAAGTTTTTTTTTTTTTCTCAGACGTGTTTTTTTTTTTTTTCAGCAAGACCCTGAGGAAATTCAGATGTTGTATGCAAGTGCCACAACTTTTGTAGGGGTTGATTCAGCCATAAAGTTCATTTTGAAAAGTTTGGGAGAGGCATGACATGTTTTTACTAGGAACCCATCATGAAGCCTTTTTAGTGAATAGATTAGGGCTGTCAAAATTAACGCGTTAACGCAAATTCATTTTAACGGCACTAATTTTATTAACGCGCGATTAACGCAGCGCGCATTTTCTGTTTGACCCGTGGCCTAGCCCGTAGTTGGAGAAATGGAGATAGATTTAACAACTTTTCAGACCCCTGTTTTTTTTTTTCAAAAAGCGCCTAGCGACAAATCTAGGGGCTTCTTGGA